GGCTTCCCTCGAGGGGCAAACTCTAGAGTGTTTGCGGCCTACGCCACTTTTTCATCGGGTGAGACTGTTTTGGTGATGTATAAACTTCACGAGAGGTCGACGACCGTCCTTCACACGGACGAAAGAGGGAGTGCTCAAAGAGCGGCTCCCACAGCAAGGAGGGGCCCCGTGAATCATCGCGGTGCCCCCTACCAAACGGTAATCTTACCAGTCTGCGTGACACAAAAACATCCAGCACGTGTATCCAACAACAATGTTCGCAGACCCACGAAAACATTCTCGCGAAGGTTGTAGCAGCAAGCAAACGCGAAGAGTCCCGAAGTCTTGCTGTTTAGCGCCGCAAGCCTTGCACGTAGCTACCGCCGTAGCTGGGGACTTCAGGTCGAAACATAGGTCCAACCTAATGAGAACTGACCGTAATGAAGAATTTCATGCTTTTTTTATGTCTGCACTCGCTGGATATCCTGTGTGTTCATCGGCATTGCGATCGACATCCAAGCGAGTACGTGTGCCCGCCAGATAAACAATGAATCAGTTGACGAAATAACAATCTACACGGCGTGTGACATACCATGCAATCATGGAAGTTCATGAGATGTCACAAAACGTTGAACACAGAAATATCTCCAGTGCCTCCTGGAGCAATCAATCTGCGCAGCGCCGATGGTTCGCCCCTAAAAATTGCAGGGTACACTCGATTTGAACTGACACTAGGAGAAATCACATTACCTGTGGAAGCTCTAGTGCTGTCATCGTTGGGACCTGATAATATGCTCCTCGACAATAGCATAATGGGCGCATTTGGTGGTGTTCTTGATCGGCAAGCGGAAGAATTGTCGTTTAAAACAACCACAATTCCAGTAGTCCACCGCAAAATGCGCTTTTCCACCACCGATCAGGAAAACAGTATGAACTGTTCTGTGGTAGCAGTAGAGAGGGACACGCCTGCAGTGCCTGTATACACTACACGGAAATGCAGCATACCTGCACAACATGAAAGAGCTGTCGAAATTCATTCGCTTGAGGCACCAGATGAAACCACAGCTGCCGTAGTTGAACCACGCATCGTTACGTTCGATGACGTTGGCAAGCAGGATATACCTGGGCAACAAACTTCACGCACGCACGCAAGAAACCACGACGCACTGCCGTGCTGCACACACTGCTGCTGCTACTGGCAAGACACGCACTACACAGAGACAGGGAACATGGACAAGGGGGGCGGGACACACACACTTACTGCTGTTGGCGACGGCGGAGGAAGCGGGGAACGTTTGGTTGGTCTGGGGTTCATTCATCGCTGATGATGTTGTTTCTGTTGTCTGAGGACACTAGTCCCTGTCAGAGACAGAGGCCGGTGCTCTGGCAGTATTCTCCCACTGCCAAGGGTGGCTATTTCCTTTCGTGAGATGTGACGAGGAGAGAGGTACAAAAAGAGTGACCAGAGGGTCGAGAGGGGCGAGCCGGAGGCTCCCCCATCTCTTCCCTCGGCAAGCGGCCATGGACTTCGGAAGAGACAAATCTCCTCGGTGCTTTACTTGCCACTTCTCCCGATGGCAAGTTACCCCGAGGAATCATATCTTCCTATACTTTGTATGTGCACAAATGGTTGGTTATATATTCCGACATGTGTCCTCCACATCACCCCCCCCTCTATGCGCCACAAGTCCATCTGTGCTAAAGATGTGCTTTTGGCGTTCAGAGACATGAGTGGCTCATGGAGACGCATGTATCGGAAATAACCTATATCCATTGTGCAACACCATCGACTACATCTAATTATCGTACAACGCGTGTTGAGAAAACACGGGGAGTCTTCAGACGGTCGATGAATGTGGTCCATACTAGTATAGTCTAGAAAAAGGTGGGTACTGGGCTGTCATGATGACAGCTAGGGTACTAGAAA